TTGATATATAGTTATATCAACACGGAAAATGTTTTATATTTGTTAAATATAACACAATAGGAACCATAAACTGTGAGGTTCGTCCCTTACAAACCGCTGACCCCAACGAGACGTTAAATGAAACCCGGAAATTTTGACTCATAAACTGAAGGAAATTTCAGTAATTTTATTTTGTATTTTGAGTCACTATCAGTGTATTATTTTACTAAAATTTTTGAGTCGAAATTTTTGGCAAACAACCATGATTAACATCATAGGAATTATGAGTTTGGCGCTTGACCTATGCCTTACGATCGTAGCAATCAGGCTGATTGGCAGTTAAATAGTCTATAGCCAACAGATGCTTCAGGACATTTTTTAAGAATTTGTCAGTGGGGGGTCATCTAAAAAAGGGACCGTACTATACTTAGTGTGGAGAGATAACAGATGGTTGTTGGAAACAAAAAGTTTGGTGTGGTATCATCTGTAATAGTAGGGGATATGGGGGTATTCTCCCCGAGAAAATGTTTGTATTTTTTCTAACCTTAGGACTGTAATTCGTGCATTTTCTGAAATAGATTTTTGGGTATACAGTATTACATTATACTGTAGATAGACTGAATCTTCAGTTAAGTACTTGCATGGTATGTTTAAGTAAATACCAAAACTTGGTCACTCAGGGGGTAGGAAGCTTGATACACTTAGGCTTCCCGACTCCCACGAGGCGCCACCATGGTTGGCACCGAGCGGCGAAATTTTGAGTCTCTAGATCGTCGGTCTCTAGAGTCTTCTCTACCTCTTTTGTTAGGCCCTTTCATTAATTCTTTCATTATGATTAGTGAGTCTATACTTTCCGTGAGTCAGGATCGATTATTACAAGAAATGTTGTTATTAAAATATCGATTACAAATATTTGAATAACATAATTATATATATACGATTTCAAATACTTCTAGTTTCGAATTCCATTGTTTTTTTGGCGGGGTCAAATTCTATTCCGCCCCCCCCTTTATAAAACATTAGGTTGGGCCCCCTACCCCCTGCTTCCTACTCCCCTGCAATCACTAACTTGTTTAGCCGAGCCTTCCAACAACTTAAATCTATATTTGTCTGGGACATGCAATCCACTGGAAAATGTTTAAAATCTAATAAGGTATTTACAACACAATGTTTAGCATTAAAGATATAAGACAGGATATTAGATTCACAAAGCAAATTTCAGTTACTAGAATATCAAACCTCCATTCTAAATTCCATGTTTTGTATATACTTTACAGAAAAGGGTTTTTGACTGGGGGAGGCCAAAATGATTGGGGGGGGGGGGTAATGGGGGTTGGGGGCAGTTATATAGTTAAAAAAAGGCCCTGCTATGCTTTGTGAATAATACGGAAGAACTACAGTACATACCGTTTCACCTGTTTGTCCTTGGCCTCCACGCGCACCAGGTTCACCTGGGATGCCCTACAGAAGATACAAAAGCAAAACATTCAATATCAAGGTAACTTTATACAGCTATTTGACAGGTGTGTCAAAAGATGTCCACACACACACAAATTTCCTACAGTAGGAAGAAAGGTTCCCTATTATTTATTTCCCACATTCTAGAATACTCTGATTAAAATTTCCTGGTTAATCTAGAAATAACACTGTTTGGGTTAACTTCCTTAATATTCCTGGTTAAATTAACCAGTCAACTTAAATGGGTAAAATAACCAGTAATAGGGTTGTTTCTGGGTTGACCAGGTAAAATTTGAACCAAAATGTTCTTCGAGTGTATATGGGCAGATTCCACCAGTTACTTTCGTGCAGTAGATGATGGTCAACTGGGACAACTTGCAGTTGCCATAGTGAAAAAAAAGTTAATTGTTTTGATTGTACGTGAAACGTTTAAGACTATGTTGCAACAAGCTTCAAATTTCAAACGTACTTGTGTGATTCCATGTTAAAGGAACTAGTCTCAACACAACTTGAGGTAAATAATTAAGCCATACCTTCTCACCAGCATCACCAGCCATACCAGCGAAACCAGCAGGACCTTTCTCGCCCTACAATAAAAATATATAAGGCTAAAACAAACTAATATCCAACATCAGATCGCAATGAAGAACAAAGCACGAGCCCATTAATTAAAAAATACTTCATCTTAATTACCCCAAGTCCAGGAGGACCAGGTGGACCTCGCTCACCAGTCACTCCGGATTTACCCTAAACAAAAGTACGCATAATGTTAAATAGCAGCGTGTGAAAATATTTCTCAATCAAACATCTCAATAGAAACAACATTCATTAGTCACTACTTCATTAAAATAAAACTGTTCCCATAGATTTAGAAAAATGCCAACAAAAACTTACAGACATTCCGTCACGACCTTGTCTGCTATTTTTACCGGCGGGACCTGAAATACCCTGGGAAAGAAAAAAGAGTGTAATGTATAGTCAAAAACTAAACTGTATGTGCAGGCCAGGCCGTGTGAGGTGGCCGTTCGAGGCATGTGCATTTTGCCACGCGCTTCTTTTATTTTTAACATAAAATCGCGCTCCTCATGTTTGCCACTTTCCGATTACTTTACGTGAGCATATTCGTAATGAGGAAAAATTGATTAAAAATTTACACATCGAGGTCCGAGGACTGAATTACGTGTCAATACACGCTTCCGGAAAGTACGTCACTTTGGCTGCTATAAAGCTCCTTTTTGGTGATTGAGATGCGCCCTTTAAATGATGTCAGATACACGAAAACGACGCTCTATAGCCAATGTGACGTACTTTCCGGAAGGGTGTATTACAAGTAATTTAAATCCTACTTCTGCTAAACTATTATGCATGCAATATTAAAAATTTACGTTAGAATATCTATGAAATGTATTAAGAATATCTACTATGAATATCTATTAAGATCCTCTCTAATAGTTACACCAATTAAATACTATAAACTATCTTTGAGCTTGTGAAGGGTAAGAGTTAATGAAACAGTCTTCAAAACGATTCGAGGTAGACCTAAGATTTATATTGTTTGAATTTAGTGGTGGTAGTAAATTCGCTAATTTTTGGTTATTGTTAAGAATGCTGAGTTAAAAAAGTTCTCTGCATCTCTTTTATCCGCCAAGGATTGTAGGCCTGTTAATTTTAACGCGTCACCATAATGTTCCTCTGGGTAAAACATGCGAAGAGCTCTTTTCTGTATTCTCTCAATTTGATTAGACAAATACACTAGCAAGTTGATATGAAATGCCTGGCAAGCATATCCTAGAGTTGATCGGATGCACGTACAGTAGAATTGCAGTAAAGAATTTACGTCCACACCTGCTCTTTTTAATATTCTTAGAAGATATAGCCGATTTGATGCCTTGTGGGTAATCTCGGTTACATGATCATTCCATTTAAGATCTTGTCTAATAGTTACACCAAGAATTCTGGCAGATTGAACGACTTCAAAGCTTGGGTATTGACAGTTATTGTGTCGTCTGTATATCGATGTCTACTAAAGTCAATACGAAGCTCTTTCCATTTCTGAGAATTTAGCTGGAATCGAAGTTATTTTCGTTCGACAAGCAATTTATCTAATCCACCCGTTCCTGTAGTCCACGTGATACGGTTTTTGAGATTTTTTTCTGAAACTGTGGTGCATGTCGTCTGCAAAGTCAGAGAAGTTACCAGGGATCGTTCAATCATTGATCATCGCCAAAAATAGCCAAGGACCAATCTTGGTACCTTGCGGAATTCCAGCTGGAACTATTTCGGAATTAAAAGTATTGTGATTCACTAGGTCAAACGCTTTTCTGTAATCCAGACGTGCAACCCTGACACGCGAACCATTGCCATCCGTGTTTTCCAACCAGCGATGTAACATCGAAATTAGCAAATGTAGTACATGAATTAGGCACAAAACCAAATTGTTTTGAATCTATTGCTTTCAGCAGCGTAGAATTCCGTTGTTCGAATTCCACCGATAAAAGTGTTTTGTTGAGCATTATTTGTGTAGTTTTTACCGTTTGGCAATCGCGTGCCTGACGTCAACATGACGTGCAATATCGCACGCGCCTGACCTACTCATGGCCTACTATCCCTTGCGCAGGCCTACTTTTCTTGTTCATATCAAGCCCAAAGGAAAAGACACCCTGGCCAAGTTTGCAATGCTGACCAAATTTCGCATTCTAAGGAAATTCCAAAACCTTGCACTATTGATTGCGATTAATCAGCATTTGAGAGACCAAAGAAATATTTTTTTATATATCGCTAGCATTTTTCTACAACATCAGCTGTTGCAAAATGAGATACAACTACCTGAAAGTCAGGTACAATGCTTGTATCGCCCTCAATTCATAGCTGTCCTTTACTTCAAGAGCATGACAAAGTGTGGAAACACTGAATTACTTACAGCTTCCCCCTTCTGTCCTGGAAGACCAGCTGGACCTGGTTGACCATCTTTACCCTAAAAATTACAATATATTATTAACACACAGGCATATATTTTACTTTGACATGATTTGACATAGAAGACATGCAGTGCAAAAAGAATCAGGGCAATCACAAGATAATATCATGAAATTAATTCAGGTGTAATTAATTCATAATTTATTGTACTGTATGTATAGTATCATTATTATTATATTTTTTTAAACTTTAACTGACCATATCAACAAACATTTAGACAATTTTTAAAATGATTTTATATATTGAAATTATGAATAAAATTATTATAAAAAATTACTATTACTATTATTATTATTATTATTATTATTATTATTATTATAAAAAATTATTATTATTATTATTATTATTATTATTATTATTATTATTATTAGGTGTACGGTACCACTTTGCACTTCAATGCACTATACCGTGGACAGTTAAAAACTAGATAGAAAACTAGCTGACGCCAGAGACGCAAAACGTTTGAGATTCGTGATGTCATGAATAATTGCGCATATGCAGAAGTTTCAAGTTTCTCGGCATTTTCTTCAATTTCTCTATATTTTCCGGATGTATATTGAAACTTAAAGTGATGTTATTGTCTTACAAGTAAGTACCTGCCGTTTTCGCGACAATGTATTTGTGGTAGATATTTTTCATCTTTGTTTTGGTGTTTTACTTAGTATTTGTGACGCATATTTCACAGTAATTTTGTGCTTTAAAATAAATATTAAATATTTTCTTAAAATAAGAAATTGATTTTTTGCAGTATACATATTATTTAGTTTAGTTTTGGTTTCTTACTTTATCTTGCTAATTAAAAGTCTTTATTATAGGGCTTGCAGATATTGTTATTGTTTCAAAATTATTTGTGTCTGTTTTATAAGTAAATTGAATTATAGAAGGTTTTGCTGTGGGTGCCTGAGAGTACTCAACATGCAGACTTTGGTATTTGGCCAGTCTGTGAGTTCTATATCCTGAGAGTTCCTGCGCAGTGTGGTTCATTACCGTTTGTGCGTTCTGTATTATTACTTTGGTGTGGTTTCTTAGTTTATCATTTGTATTTAGATTTGGTGTGTTGTACAGGAAGCAAGAACGGCAATGTCGATGCAACTATCGTCGCAGCTATGTTTAAAGTGAAGTTACAGGGTTCGAAATATTAAAAGGTATCACCATCAGGCCGTCACGGATGTCGCGTCAGCAACAGTAGAGAGGTTTAACAAAGACAACGCGACGTCAAAGACGACGTGAAAATGGCGCAAAATTGGCGTGTGCATATCCACAGATGGGCATATCGTACGTCGTGTATCAGCACGTATATCGGCACGTCGTCTTTAACGTCGCGTCGTCTTTGCTGAACCTCTCTATTGGCGCTTTAGCTTGTGTTTCCAGTCCACTTGTTTGATTGTCCATATGATTTTACATAGCGAAGTGTTTATAAATTTCAAATACTAGCCTATAGTATAACAATAGCAATGCAATTTGGGAAACTGTTGGAAAATATTTACCGTGTGACGTAAGTATTTCTATTAAGGAATATTATTTCTCTGCGTACTATGCATATGAGGAGTATATATAACGCAGCACTTCGCTACCTTTTGGTATCATATGGTATAATAATAATACTGGCTCATTTGATTGGTAGTTCATCCACAGGGTGTCTCTTCGCCTACTATTTATACGAATGTATAAATACAATATATAAAAATAATTACCATAGGACTATGAATATAAGTGTTCAGAATGGAATAATACTCAAACTATAAAAGTATGGATATATAAATTATGCACATGCTAAAAGATATATATCCTAATTACAACTAAGAATACTCAGTCACTAAGAGTTTCTCTCTGCTAAGTAAATCTTAGCTCCGCTCAAGAAGTCTCAGAACTGTTCATAATTACTGCAATTTCTACGTTCAGTTACAGGTAATTTATTGCCAGAAAACCCACTGTATATATATATATATATATATATATATATATATATATATATATATATATATATATATATATATATATATATATATATATATATATATATATATATATATATATATATATATTTATATCTTAAAATTAATTATTGCTACTCAAGTTTCACGCCTTATTCAAGACGATCTTCAGGCAATAGTTTCACGCCTTATTCAGACGATCTTCATTGCCTGAAGATCGTCTTGAATAAGGCGTGAAACTTGAGTAGCAATAATTAATTTTAAGATATAAATATATCTTGCTCCACTTTTGTATTAGTGTTGAGCACTTTATTATCTACTACAACAAAACAAATTATATATATATATATATATATATATATATATATATATATATATATATATATATATATATATATATATATATATACATATATATATATATATATACCAAATATGTATTTAGAATCATATATGAGTAGAGTGCTCGATATACCGAAGTATAGAGCTAATATAGATAAAGATAAAATAAACCTGGTTTACTTCATAAGATTTATTCACTACAAACTTGTTTCGTATGACAAGCAATGCTTGCCACACTCTTCAGGTGAATTTAAATGTTCGCGCTAACATGATAGCGCGACATTTAAATTCACCTG